ACAGCAGTATATGTGTTACTTTGTCAGTTAGTGTGGGTTATGAGGAGAGGTGGAACATCACAGATTGTGACTGTTCATATTTTTCAATGAAAGCTCAAAATTGGATCTAAATAAAAAGAAATTCTCTCTAGTCAGCTTTACCCAGTTCCTTAAAAAAATTTAACTAAACCAAACAAAATATAAATCATGGGCTCATACAAACATAAAAAATGCAAACAAGTACTAGATAACTGTCATTTACATTTTAAAAAAGGACAGTTGCTGATAGTTTTGTTCTCAAATTCAGATGGCATTACCTTGGTGGAGGTGATGCATTATCTACATATGGGTTATCCTCAACATTCCTGCTATTTTCATCAATTTCATACACAACACAGTCACTGTCTATTTCAAATTAGTCTACATGGGGGGATATGAAGGGATATGGTATCTCCAGCACTTATAAGTTGGCACTGAGAGCATGACTAGGGTATTTTGTTTAATTGTTCATATTGAGTTGTCATAAGAGGGAAATCTGCCCCACAAACTTTAAACTGAGGGAAAAAGATCCTCAACTGATGTTATGCACACATGTGGAAAAAAATTATTATGCATATCTGTATCTCACTGTCCGCTGACTCGAAGCACAGCCTAAGGTTAATAAATAAATGAGAATTACGGGAAAAAAGAGCATATCAGCTTTAACACAGATGGTGCCCTTAGATTCACTACAAATACACAGATACCATATAATAGCAAGATAAACTATACCTGAACATGAACTACAAACAGGTTTACTAGAAATGATAATAATAATAATAAGTAGGAGATAAAAACTATAGGCTCAACATACTGTATGAGGTTAGGATGAGACAGCTGATGCATCGCCTGAACCTCACGTATAAAGTCATCAAGGGCACCAGGAACATGGATGACATCCTGCTTCAGTATTTTGACAGCAACCTGGCATTTATAAAGGCTTTTAGCTTAGCACAGATATTGTATCTTTCAAAAACTTTGATAATCAATCTACAATAATACGGTGCCTACTAAAGTACTCAGAGATATATTGTACTTTGTCTAACTTTCTATTGCATTTGTGTTTACTTTTGAATGACACTTGCATCATTTGTAAGAAACATTATACTTTTGGGACACAACTGTATACATGCAGGACAAACTTCATTAAATTTGAACAAAACAGCAATATAATCATATAAACCTTATGCAAAATACCACCAGTAAACATATATAAAAGCTTTAAACTAATCTAAAATTCCTATTGCAATGTAAACATAACTCCAATAAAATAGCATTATCCTCACAGTTTCCAAGCCTTACAGTTTATGCTGTATCTGACCACCATCTAATTTTAAACCATTTAACTCATTCCTCACCTCTTTTATCTGTCCATTTGCAGTGGTCCATTCTCCACTTCTTACTACACCAAAGCTCCCATCACCTAATTTCCGTCCTTGAACAATGTCCTAACAAAAAATTACAAAGGACACTTGGAAGCATTAAACAAAGAAATAATATGAGAAATTAAAATGAGCTGATAAGCAAAATGTATTTCACTCTAGACCCAGTCACCATTCTTCTTCTTATAGACCAGATTTGCAGAGAAACATAATGATTGTATGTCATATACCACTCCAATTACCTTCTCCTGAATGAGACAGGTGAGGCTAGATGGTAAAGTGTCATTTGTCCTTGATGGAGGTGATCGGTGCTTACTTGACGGGGATCCGCCAGTAGATAAGATCTTTGACACCAAATTTTTTCTCCAAGCTGCAGCACGCTTCTTCTTGACAGTCTCCAACAGTCTTCTGGCTGCAGGTTTGCCAAGACCAATGCGCTCCAAGTCTTCAGTATGAACATACTCAAAGTGGCTTAGCCTTGTAACCTGTTGATAAGAGGATAATTAAAAAATTAGAGTTCATAAAAGGTGAAAATATTTCCAGGGCAATCCCCAAAATTAATGCTAAGCTACTTAAAAATCTTAAAAGACCAATTTTAAAACCAATGGGGTAAAATTTGGATACAGACAGAAGTAACTAATGTTTTATCATTATGAACAGAAATATACTCACATATATATACATACCTCTCTCTCACTCTCTCATTTTCTCTCACTAACTCTCACACTCACTCACTAACTAACTCTCACACTCATTAACTAACTCTCACACTAACTCACTAACTCACACTCTCACTCACTAACTCTCACACTAACTCACTAACTCTCACACTTACTCACTAACTAACTCTCACACTAACTCACTAACTCTCACACTCACTAATAACTCAACTCACTCACACTCACTCACTAACTAACTAACTCTTACACTCACTCACTAACTAACTCTCACACTCACTCACTAACTAACTCTCACACTCACTCACTAACTAACTCTCACACTCACTCACTAACTAACTAACTAACTCTCACACTCACTCACTAACTAACTAACTAACTCTCACACTCACTCACTAACTAACTAACTAACTCTCACACTCACTCACTAACTAACTAACTCTCACACTCACTCACTAACTAACTCACTCTCACACTCACTAACTAACTAACTCTCACACTCACTCACTAACTAACTAACTCTCACACTCACTCACTAACTAACTAACTCTCACACTCACTCACTAACTAACTCAACTCACTCACTAACTAACTAACTACACTCACTACTAACTAACTAACTCTCACTCACTCACTCTCTCACTCTCTCTCTCTTCATTCACTCACTCACTCTCTCTCTCTCTCTCACTCTCACTCTCATTCACTCACTCTCTCTCTCACTCTCATTCTCATTCACTCACTCTCTCTCTCACTCTTATTCACTCACTCTCTCTCTCACTCTTATTCACTCACTCTCTCACTCTTATTCACTCACTCTCTCTCTCTCTCACTCTTATTCACTCACTACTCTCTCTCACTCTTATTCACTCACTCTCTCTCTCACTCTTATTCACTCACTCTCACTCTACTCACTCTCTCTCTCACTCTATTCACTCACTCTCTCTCTCTCACTCTTATTCACTCACTTCTCTCTCACTCTTATTCACTCACTCTCTCTCACTCTCTCTCTCACTCCACTCTCTCTCTCTCTCTCTCTCTCTCTCTCTCTCTCTCTCTCTCTCTCTCTCTCTCTCTCTCTCTCTCTCTCTCTCTCTCTCTCTCTCTCTCTCTCTCTCTCTCTCTCTCTCTCTCAAAGGAACCAACCTGCAGGTCATCACGTATCCTGGTGAAAAACTGTGCAAGCTGTACTTCCACCAGAATTGTGCGTATAACTTCCAAGTCATCTTCACCGACATCACCCATCAGTTTGAAATGTCTGAAAAAAAAAATTATTGTAGGAAAGGAGGGAAGAGAAAATTATGAGAGAGATTATAGGTTTTTCACATTGCAAAGATTGTCTTTTATACATATAAGTTATATTATGTAATCTTTGTTACCATTATTTCGCTTTTCAATCTCCACGTTGCCCTATTCAAGAAAATTCCTAAGGAATGTTAAATAACAATACCTGATACTGTGATTTTCTAATTAAACAAATGCTTCTGATATATATAATTATCAAGATTTTACTGATTTTCTAGAAATTGGTATTGCATTCTTTACTCCAGCTAATGGTGTACAGCAACTGTAGATTATGGCTTGGGTTTATTTACATACAAACCCTAGCAAAGCTCTAGAACAGGTCTGCATCTTAAATCCATATCATTTAATATCAATATATTCCTTATCATGCCTACTTTTCACTTGCAGTGGTTCTGATAGGTATTGGCCAACAATAGCAATGATACTAGTCTCAATAGGTGGGAAGGGATTGATATATCCCATAGAATTGCAGGGTAGAATTGGCTAATTGTAAAGGGTCAGTGCTCCCTAACCCCTTGCCTGGAAAGCAAAACCTCCACACACCTGACCAGCAAGACACTAGCCCTTACAAGAATGAATGATACACTTCTGACATTACCCAAATGAGACAATGGATCTAAGAGGTAAACGTTTCTCTCAATCAGCCCTGAATTATTCTTGTGCAATTCATACTAGTTTTTGATTGTTTGTATTATGCTTATTTACATTTCAACAATTAATGTATGCTGTTAGAAGTTAGTTAATAGACATTGATAGGAGTCCAATGATATACAATATGATAGATTTTCAGGGTTAAATAGAGGATATCAACATGAAGTATATCATGAAGAAAAATATATATTCCTTTTCTATATGATGTAATCAATATACTGAAGACCATCACTATGTATTTCACTACTGTTGCCCTCTCCCTAGCATCCAATGACTTTAATATCTCAATTGCTGATGACTTCCTTTCTTCCATCCAATCCCAGATGTCAGACATGGGAGATCCTCTACTAATGAAAGGACTGACTGACTTCTTGTAAAATTTATCTATACAAAGATGTCTCCACAAGTGTTTAGATACTAAGAAGTCAATTAGTAGTCTACATGCCTTTGTCTGATTTTCCCTTCCTAAAGTTTTCAGGATTCTATTTTCTAATGCTATTAGTATTGATGTTATTATTGTTATAATTGACAAGTGTTAGTATTATTAACAATGATAACCAGTACAAATTAAAATATTTCTAAATATAAAGGGATAGGGTAAACAGGTGAGACAGATTGGACTGGTGATTGCCTCATTGGTGACTAAGCCCTTTTAGAGCCATCTAGGTATTAAAAATATTAACAACTTAAACTCACCGTGAGCATGGCAGCCCTGGTGGCAGTGGGTTAAATCTATTACTCTGACATATAAGCAAAAGCATCCCATCCAGTTTCAAATCAAAGTCAATTTGTACAACAAAACGCAGGGAGTAATTTAAACTATCCTACCTGGCAGATGATACAAATTAAAGTTATTGTATAAATGCCTTTACATTATGAATCATGAAAAGTCTACTTCCTTGTTGAACTAAATGAAATCCTTCTTGGCATGTATACTTTAGCTAAAGGAAAGCATTTGTACAATAGTTTA